GGTGTGTGGATGTCATACATGTGTGCTCTCTCTTATATATATATATATATATATATATATATATATATATATATATATATATATATATCTTTGCAACTACACAGGTTTAAAGACTTTTAACAACATTGTATTAAAATACTTTGGTAGGGAGAGGTGTTAATTATAAATTTTATGATGGCATTAGTTAGGCTTTTAAAAAAATATTGTTATTAGCTTAATTTTAAAAGTGCCGGTACTCGATTCCACCCCATGTATGTTGAGCTAGATAAAGGTAGTACAATTTAAAAACTAATAAATTTATGTAAAAAAAAAAAGAAAGAAAGAATTATAAAAATTTAATGGACGCATACAAATCGTTCACGTTTTATTCATTATCATTAAATTGAAAGCGTTTGTTTTCTTTAAATGTGCTACTCTTGTAACAAAGTCTCATGAATAAACAGAGTTAAAAAATAAAAAAAATATTTTTTTTTTTAAAATTCCCAACTGCTTTTGTATTTTTAATATCAGAATAATATACAAACGACCCCACCTATTTTTTTAAATAATCCGAGCAAAAAAAAATTTTTTTTTTTTTTTTATTTTTGGTATTAGGTTCAGGGAAAAAATTATTATTTCCAAATGGTCAATGTAAAATAAATTCTGTGGATTTTTTTTTTTTTTTAAAAATGTTTTAAATTATATAAAAGAGGCAATTTGTAATTTATCCGAAGAAAGTTATAGCTGTTCAGTGGCGTAACAACGGCTTGGCATTGGGGCAGTTGCCAAGGGCGCCGGCCTGCGCCAGTTCAAAAGGGCGCCGCTAAATCTCTAATTTTAAAATTTTTATTTAAACAAAAGGGCGCCAAAAATAAATTAGCCAAGGGCGTCAAAAACCTAGTTACACTCCTGTAGTTGTTTGAAAATTAAAATAAAAATTTCAATAAACTGAATATTTGGAAAATTATAATTTATTTTTATACAATTTCCCTCAGCTAAAATCACATATAGCGTGTTGAATATGTCTTGATTTGAATATGTGCAGAGCAGAAGCCGAATTCTGGACCTTTTGAATCAACAGTTTTATTGTACATCGTACTCTGTACTAGAGAGAGGTGGCATGTTCTGTACTAGAGAGAGATGGCATGTTCTGTTCTAGTGAGAGAGAGATATATATCATTTCTGTCCTAGAGAGAGATGGCATATACTGTACTAGAGAGAGGTGGCATGTTCTGTACTAGAGAGAGATGGCATGTTCTGTACTAGAGAGAGATGGCATGTTCTGTACTTGAGAGAGAGATGGCATGTTCTGTACTAGAGTGAGATGGCATGTTCTGTACTAGAGAGAGATGGCATGTTCTGTACTAGAGAGAGATTGCATGTTCTGTACTAGAGAGAGATGGCATGTTCTGTACTAGAGAGAGATGGCATGTTCTGTACTAGAGAGAGATGGCATGTTCTGTACTAGAGAGAGATGGCATGTTCTGTACTAGAGAGAGATGGCATATCTGTACTAGAGAGAGATGGCATGTTCTGTACTAGAGAGAGGTGGCATGTTCTGTACTAGAGAGAGATGTCATGTTCTGTACTAGAGAGAGGTGGCATGTTCTGTACTAGAGAGAGGTGACATGTTCTGTACTAGAGAGAGATGGCATGTTCTGTACTAGAGAGAGATAGCGTGTTCTGTACTAGAGAGAGATGGCATGTTCTGTACTAGAGAGAGATGGCATGTTCTGTACTAGAGAGAGATGGCATGTTCTGTACTAGAGAGAGATGGCATGTTCTGTACTAGAGAGAGGTGGCAAGTTCTGTATTAGAGAGAGATGGCATGTTCTGTACTAGAGAGAGATGGTATGTTCTGTACTAGAGAGAGGTGGCATGTTCTGTACTAGAGAGAGGTTGCATGTTCTGTATTAGAGAGGTGGCATGTTCTGTACTAGAGAGAGATGGCATGTTCTGTACTAGAGAGAGATGGCATATTCTGTACTAGAGAGAGATGGCATGTTCTGTACTTGAGAGAGATGTCATGTTCTGTACTAGAGAGAGATAGCATGTTCTGTACTAGAGAGAAATGGCATGTTCTGTACTAGAGAGAGGTGGCATGTTCTGTACTAGAGAGAGATGGCATGTTCTGTACTAGAGAGAGGTGGCATGTTCTGTACTAGAGATAGATGGCATGTTCTGTACTAGAGAGAGATAACATTTTCTGTATTAGAGATAGATGGCATGATCTGTACTAGAGATGGCATGGTCTGTACTAGAGAGAAATTGCATATTCTGTACTAGAGAGAGATAGCATGTTCTGTACTAGAGAGAGATGTCATGTTAAGTACTACCACTACTTTGACTTTACTCTTTTCAAAAAGACATGATATATATACAGTACATCTTAATTTTTCTGTATAACTAACTGCATATGACTACAAATCATACATTTAGGGATGCAAGGCCAACGAATAGCTTTGAAGGCTTTCCGTTGAACGGAGGCTGGTGTCCAGGTGTTTTTTGTTTTTGTTTTTGAAAAGGGAACATATCCAGAGACGACGTTTGGCTAGGGGAGGTGGGGTATTTGCTTCCACCCCCTCTTCTGAATTTGGAGGTTTAATTTAAATTGCTATGTAACTTAACACGCCGACCACGTCCCACCCCACCCCCGCCCCCTCCTTTTGACCCCCCCCCCACATGAAATGACACCCTTAAACATATACTCATCTTTTGGGATGCTTTCTATACCATAAAAGTGGTGCCGTAATTGCAAGGTGCAAAAAAATAGTGACGATAGTCAGAAATTAAATTGAAAACGGTGACTTGAAGCTTGAAGAGGAATACATTTGAAACCCTTAAAGTGAGGGTTGGAAGGGTGCAGACTACCGGAAATGGAAGCAGTCACACCGCAAGCAAAATCTATATAAAGAGATATAAAACCAAATACCAATGACTGATTCAGCAGTCACGAGGTCTCAAGAACAAAAAAAGCCCTACGAAATTGATAATGAACATTTCTCATGGTTATTCCTCATATACTCTAAGGCAGTGGTCCCCAAATGGCGGTCCGTGGACCTTCACCGGTCCGCATCCCTAACGCTGCCGGTCCCCATAACACAAATATTTATTGTCAAATAGAAATAAAAGTATAAAAATAAATCATGCACCGGTCCCTGATAAAATTTCGAAACATGTTCACCGGTCAGCACAACTTAAACGTTTAGGAACCACTGCTCTTTACTGGACCTAACACGACAAAGTCCGAAACATATAGAATAATAACCATGGCTCGTTACGTGAGGTATAGTTTTGGTTTGTGCTTTGATGTCGCGTGTTATGTGCTTTGATGTCGCGTGTCATGTGCGTTGATGTCGCGTATCATGGGCGTTGATGTCGCGTGTCATGTGCTTTGATGTCGCGTGTCATGCGCTTTGATGTCGCGTGTCATGCGCTTTGATGTCGCGTGTCATGTGCTTTGAAGTCGCGTGTCATGTGCTTTGATGTCGTGTGTCATGAGCTTTGATGTCACGTGTCATGTGCTTTCCATGACATTTGAACGTTTGTGCCATTGTTTCGCGAATGATGCGAGTCCAACAAGAACATTTATATTCAAGTTCTCAAATCACGCATCTAAAGCAGTGGTTCTTAACCTTGTTGGAGGTACGGAAGCCCACCAGTTTCATTTGCGCATTCACCGAACCCTTCTTAATAGGAAAAAAAAAAATATAATTTTTTTCTGATTTATTTTTGTGGACCTCCGCCGAACCCCTGAGACTGACTCACCGAACCCCTGGGGGTTCGATCGAACCCAGGTTAAGATCCACTGATCTAAAGTTAACTATCACCAAATGATGTTGTTAATACTTTTACGTTTCAATACTGTTTGATTATTGTGTTGAAGTCGACATCACATTATTTATTTAAGCAGCAAAAAAAAAAAAAAAAAGAAAAAAAAAAGTCCACTTGGCGATATCTCCTTATTGATTTCTCAGTAGTATAGTAGGTTTGATGAGTATTTATTTTTAAGTTTTTCGAGTGGGTATTAGTGGCGTACAAATACTGGTACCAATGGGGGGTGTTAATTAGCCCCCCTAGTGTGGCACTTACTTGTTTATATAGGGGAGACGTTTCGGCTAAATTTCAGAATTTTAAATTTTATCGTGGAAAGGGGGTTACAAAATGCTAGCCCGCCCTGGGCGGCACTATATACCCTAGCCGCCCCACTGACCGGGTATCAGGAATTTTTTTATAAAAGAAATGTTTTCGGAAAATTTTATCTATGGAAATTAATTCAAACGGAAGTTTGTTCAAATTGAAATAATTGAAAAAAAAAACAAACTACAACAACAAGAAAAATGAATTTTATTGAATAAAGTGAACATTTCTCAGATGTCTCAGTCGAACTTTCCTTAACCGAGTCTTAACCCTAACCTTCCATACGAAACATTAAAAAAAAAATCAGTAAACCTCTGTTGAATAAATTTCTGTCGAACAAATTGCTTGATACGATTGGAAAGTAATGAGAGTGAGAGACATTGCGAGGCTCCAAGAGTTAAAACTTCAAAGAGGCTACTTGAGCGCTATTCCTGGGTCTGTGTGTGGGCCACACGGTACATTGATGCCTGGGACGAGTTGAAGCGCCACGTCTCTTGACAAACAGCATGAATATTGGTTGCGTTTAATGAATTCAGATGATGGGAAATGACGAAGGTGCATTGTTGAACGTAGAAGAGAAAAACAGAAAAGAAAAGAAAGAATAAACACGGAAAGCTTGGCTTCTCATCAGGCAGACACGCACACATTTAACAACAAGAGGAACACGTTGGAGATTTCCTCCTTATCTGCTCTCGTGATGTTTCCTCTTGATCTGCTCACGTGTTATTTCCTCTTCATCTGCTCACGTTTTTTTTCCTCTTTATCTGATCACGTGTTTTTTCCTCTTTATCTGATCACGTGTTTTTTCCTCTTTATCTGATCACGTGTTATTACCTCTTTATCTGATCACCTGTTATTTCCTCTTTATCTGCTCACCTGTTATTTCCTCTTCATCTGCTCACCTGTTATTTCCTCTTCATCTGCTCACCTGTTATTTCCTCTTTATCTGATCGCGTGTTATTTCCTTTTAATCTGCTCATGTGTTATTTCCTCTTCATCTGCTCACCTGTTATTTCTTCTTCATCTGCTCACCTGTTATTTCCTCTTTATCTGCTCACGTGTTATTACCTCTTTATCTGATCACGTGTTATTTCCTCTTTATCTGCTCACGTGTTATTACCTCTTTATCTGATCACGTTTTTTTTCCTCTTTATCTGCTCACCTGTTATTTCCTCTTTATCTGCTCACCTGTTATTTCCTCTTTATCTGCTCACCTGTTATTTCCTCTTCATCTGCTCACCTGTTATTTCCTCTTTATCTGATCGCGTGTTATTTCCTTTTAATCTGCTCATGTGTTATTTCCTCTTCATCTGCTCACCTGTTATTTCTTCTTCATCTGCTCACCTGTTATTTCCTCTTTATCTGCTCACGTGTTATTTCCTCTTCATCTGATCACATGTTATTTCCTCTTCATCTGATCACGTGTTATTTCCTCTTTATCAGCTCACCTGTTATTTCCTCTTCATCTGCTCACCTGTTATTTCCTCTTTATCTGCTCACGTGTTATTTCCTCTTCATCTGCTCACGTGTTATTTCCTCTTCATCTACTCACGTGTTCTTCATTCCAGCCCCCCCTCCCCCCCCCACACACACACCTCTTTTCATTCGGTAGATATTTCGGTCTGCCTGGACATGGATTTAAAAAAAAAACAACAACAAACAATTAGACAAATAATTCAGAGCATGAGCATGGCACCCACGTGCCCCGCAAGCCAATGATCTACCGCTTGATTCATGCTGCGCGCGGCCCTGCTAACGTGCCGTGCTCACACAGAGGACCCCACATTCCCCGCTACGTCTCGCACGCCATAGGTTGGCCACCGCTGCTCTATCAACTTTAAATCGCAAAAGATTCCTATAGGCATCTCAATATTTTATTATTTAAGTATGAAAATGAAATCGATTTTTTTTTTTCAACAGGGGCATCCCACCAGGGGTCAAGTAAGACCTGGGGACAAAAAATTGAGAACAAGCCACAGATTCCCCTTCCCCATCCCCCCCCCCCGCCAAATCGTGCGGGATCCCGGTAGAGAAACCCCAGTTGATGTACATATAAAATAAATATTTTGATATATAACTTAACCCCCTCCCCCGCCCCCCCCCCCCGCCAAATCGTGCGGGATCCCGGTAGAGAAACCCCAGTTGATGTACATATAAAATAAATATTTTGATATATAACTTATAACTGTGAAAGAGAAACCTAAGCTACACAGGTCAAGGAGACTGTCACGCGAGAAGCTACTGGGAACGCCGTTGCTGCTGTGGAAAAAAAAAACAAGTGCAGGTGATGTTGATGTCATGCGTTCCTGGAGGGGCTCGAGCCCTGAATTCTACCGATAAGGTGATAATTATTATGATAATTTGTTGATTTTAGGTGAAGGTTTATAACACAATCAGTGCTATGCAACATTTTTTTAAAAAATCACTGCTAGAGATGAAACCAATTTTGAGACCATACCATCAACTTAAACATCTTTTGGCCGTCGAGGAAATAGTCCCCGCTTCCAAATCTGCCCCCCCCCCCAACCGAACTGACTTGCCAGACGGGGGCGAAAGGCGTCAAAAGTCAGGGGGGACGCCCCCCACCCCCCACAAAACAATTGTCACAGAAACGTAGATTTCAACGAAGGAAATAGTCCCCGCTTCCAAATCCGCCCCCCCCCCAACCGAACTGACTTGCCAGACGGGGGCGAAAGGCATCAAAAGTCAGGGGGGACGCCCCCCACCCCCCACAAAACAATTGTCACAGAAACGTAGATTTCAACGGTATGCTGCTAAGTAATGACAATCATGCGCGGGTGAATTTAACGGAAAGTCCCGCACGACGCCGCGTTGCTTGACAACAAAACAATGGAGAAGACGAGAGCGAGTCATGGATGTGTTGAGAAAAAGTTCTTTATTTCTTAGATCTCTGTATTAAACACAACACATGTGGGGTTTTGCATTGAATGGATTTCTGTTTCTTTTTCACACAGTTGCTTAACTTCTCCACGTAACTTTACTTTACATTCACAGTACTTTGATTATGTTCTTTATTTTAGTCGCGATTTTGCCAGGGGGAGTCTAATAGAGTAGCCGAATAGATGATCACAGTTGACTATTGTTTTCAAGGTTGCCAGGTTTTTTTTAGATTCCCCCCCCCTCTCTCAACTTGCGTTTTGTTTTCTACCCTCGTAATTCATTAACAACAAAAGTAAGTTTTTTTTTCTCCCCACCCATGTATTAATTATGCTGGAAATCTTCCTTAATTCCACTGGGGAGAAAACAACAACAATCAAGCACACAAACAAACGGCCCAGAACGATACTAGTCACACCATTCTAAAACACAAACATAATGGGAAGCAAAAAGATGATCAATTTTCTTTTTTTTTTTTGATACTAGTTGGGTAGTAATTAGAAGAGTCAATGATCTGGTGAAATCAAACGGGCCCAAACTTATATTTGAAATAAATAAACAATTGCTTCATAATTCAATCCTTATCTAATTCATGATTTTTAAAGCTATTTTTTCTGAAAGCCTGGAGACAAACTTAAACATTTTCTTCCTCTCGTAAATCATCTAAAAAAAAAAAAAATGATATCGCTCTATTTTAAATATTTTAACAGGCAAAAGATGTTTGGGCGAGTTCGTCGTTGGTGACTTGATTTTGCATCCAGTAGATCACGTGAGACGGCGTAACCAACCAAACGTTGTCCATGGCGGATAACTCTTGGAGGAACAGGCGGAGGGCTGGAAACGGAGATAATGACAATTTGAATGAATAGGTTTTTTTATTTATCTAAAATGTTAATTAAAAAAACCAAAAGGAAAAAAAAAAACAAAAAAAAAACAACAGAAATACATACGTTAAAGCAACAGTATCATACTAATATTGCTTGTAGACAAAAACGACATAATTTATATCCTAGCTTGACTTGTTGACGTTACAAACAGTATGTAGCATCAGGGCTAGAGTCTTGCACGAACGTATATAAACCGCGAATCTTCATATATTTTGTTTTTCTTTTTTTTGCCAAGAAATACATGAATATTCATTCCGGGTGAAAACGTGTGTGTAGGGGTGGGGGGTGGGGGTGGGGTGTGGGGGTGGGGAAGGCGGGGCGGGAGTGAGAGAGAAGGGATCTTGGGTGAGTTTCCACACATTATCCCCCCCCCCCCTGAGCATCATCAAAACATTACTCACCTTCCAGAGCTTCGGGTCCCTTCAGGAACATGGATGCGTGTGTGAACATGTGCATTGGGATTCTCAGTGGGTAGAAATTCTCGTAGAAATTACGTCTGTAACAAACAAAAGGCTTATTTGAATAATGTCTTTAAAAAAATGGCAGAGATATGCAATGGGGGGACAGTAGGAATGGGTGAATCCATAAAATAAAAATGGCGATGCATAATTAAATTAAAATAATTATCATTTAAATATATTTTTTTTTATCGGACATAACTGAAAAACAGTAGCTGATATTGTATATAAAAGTTGTAAATTATAAAATTTCATTAAAATTGTGTTTGATTATTAAATTAACATTTATCAATATTTAAGTATTCTTGAAAGGTGCCTCATGTCTTAATCGCACGCCCGGACAAATCCTAGATCCTCTTTTAACACGTGCCTTGAGGATTGTTATGCAAGGTGTACAATCCGTTTAAAAAAAAACATTTACAAAAAAACAAAAAAATTGCAATCAAATTTATTAGAGGAATAGAGAGAATCATTCACTGTAAACAACAGACCTGAAAAATTTGAGATAATCTTCGACAGTTCCGTCAAAGTTCGGCCCGTTGATGCTGCAGCCGTCAATCATGCCACAGCTGTAGCCGTTGTCACCAATCCAGCCGTTCATGGGGATCTCCCAGAGTCCCGGGTAGGATCCTTTGGGACAGGGTCTGTTTGGACACCTGTTGAGGCAAATGAATCGACAGTAGGAAAACGACAGAGGTGTGTCACGGCGTTGGGCAACATGCAACATGCAAACCGCAACAGTTTAATTAAGTCAAACGAGTACCCAGTCAAACGAGGGGAGAGTTGTGGACAGAAGGTTGGACAATGGGATTGAAAGCTCTTCAGGCAGGTTTCACAACTACTTAGTTTTCTTCAATTACATAATGATTCCTGAATTATTCAATGACTTATAATCTCTAACTCAAATAATATTTTATTGGTTTTCTCCAGGGACATAGTCTATACTCTATAACCCATCAAATTCTTCCCCCCCCCCTCCAAATACCAAATCCACACCCTCTAACCGATCACAATACATTTGGTTTTCTTCAATGACATTTTCAAAATTCTCCAAACCCATCACAATTTTTGTTGTTGTTGCCGCCTTCATTGGCGAAGTCTGAACTCTCTAACCAATAACGCACTTACTGGTTTTCCTCGATAGGGTAGTCAAGGGTGAATGGCCACAAAGCTTTCCTGCCAGCCTGGATCTCAATGTTGACGATGGAGGAATCATAGGTGAAGTTATAGTCACGGAGTACTGCGTACTGGGCGTCACCATAGGTGCGCAAGTAGGGCACTCGGAAACCTCGGATCTCCTCGGGTGGGATGCTGGTCTTGGCGGCGACTATGTCTCTCAGACCTACAATCTGGACACGAAGTAGTTGACACATTTTTATACGTGAAAAAACGTCAGTTTTGATTAGGATCGCTAGTGGTTTGACCAATTATCTACATGGACATTAATAAATATCAAAATAAATATTTATTCAATCAAGGGAATAATGAAAGGCGGTGAAAGCCATGCCGGCAGGGCATCAAACCCGTCTCTACGAGTCACCACGAGAGAACTCCACTGGTGGATTTACGATGTTCACACATTTCAAAACATGTCTGAGATTTTAATATGCGTGAAATTTTTGCATTAGATTTATTTTTATAGTTTGATTTTTTTTTTTTAACAATAGATAGCATGTCTCAAATTTAAACAACGCATATTAAGGTGAGCTATTTATAAACCAATCTCCAAATAAATAAATAAATAAAATTGGTACTGGGTAAATAAAACCTTTTCATAATACAGTTGTGCTAATAATTATTTTCCTTGTGGAAGTGCGTACACACGTACATAAGTACAAATCATTCAAAAGTTGGACTATATTTGTGATTAAATGAAATGAAATAATGTTTAAAAAATTACTTGTCTGGCTTAATTAACCGTACACTCGAAGAAGTAATTATTGCAACTACCTCCGCCTTGGCCTCGCTGTAGATGTCAGTGTCACTCGTGTGGTTGACCGTGTGGGAGGCGATCTCGTGGTCGTTGTCGTAGAGGATCTGGACCAGGCTGTAGTCGGTGTACAGGTTGGACACGAAGAAGGTTGACCTGGAATAACGAGACTGACCCGTCACGTGGCGTGGACTCGGACTTATTGGTCACTGTGACCAGATTTAGGACCTCCCCTATCACCCACCCCTGGATACGCCAATGGGCATCGTTTCAAAGACGCTAAAGTCTGTGCACGCAATCACCTCGACAGAGTCAAATTTTAAAGTCTACTCACAGAAAGATGCCAGTCGACATGTGTTATTTTTATAAGAGAGAGAGAGGCCAGAGGTTCTTACAATTTAGATAACGCGTATCATAATTTAGTCGGGTTAAGGTGCATTTTAATTGCTGTCTTAGTTGAACCTTAAAGGATGCATACACACATTTTGTATTTGGGAATGGAAAATGTGTATATTCTATGAACACCTTTTATTGTTGTCGTACGACGTTGAAGTTCATCTAGGGAAATTATTCAAAACTCGCTATCACCCGTCAAAAATAAATGATGGACACTTCCATAAATTACATAAATTTCTGTCATAATTTAGGAAAAAAAAATGATATTAATTTTTATTTAACAATTTATTAACGGTAATATTTGCAGATATAAAGAGAATTATATGTCAAACATATATCAATTTTTTTTTTACAATCACCGTAAAAAAAAACATGCTTTTCCCTGAAATGTGTCTAATTGAGTTGCTTCGGCTAATTAATAGGCGTTCATATTCGGTAATGTTTTGTAATGAGGTTGTAGTGTTAAATAACAATTTTAAGGGGAAATAACTGCATATGCTTAAAATGCACCACTATTCCCAAGGTTGTCTCTCTTTGCTAAAAAAAAATAATAAGACCTTGCGCAATGATTTTAATTTCTTTTAATGTTTTAGCACTTTATGGTGCATGGAAAGTACTTGCTGTAAAATGAAAGTACTTGATGGTACAGGGATAGTGCTTCATGGTACAGCACTTTCTAACACTCAGGTGCATTCATTGCGTGTACTAACTTGACGGTACAGGCATTGCTAGTACTCATATTACGGTACAATCATCGCCAGCACTCACAGGACGGTAAAAATCATTGCTAGCACTGATATTACGGTACAATCATTGCCAGTACTCACTTGACGGTACAGTTGTTGGGGTTCCTGAGCTGCCACTCGTTGTTGATCAGTATCGGGTAGTACACCTTGGAGAACACCGTGGTGGTCACGGCATCGTCGAACGTGAGCATGACGAACATGGGCGCGTCCCGCTCGGACACGTTGGCGGGGGCGGCGCCGGAGCAGAAGCAGTCCGGGAGCCGGCAGGTCTCCGGGTTACATTTGCCTGGCTTGGTCATCGGCGGCGTCGTTGTGGGGGGCTTGGCTGGCGACGGAGGTTTTGAAATGCTGGATTTAGCTATTGAACTGTTATATTCTTTATAATAATTATTACATTCGTTAGGACAATGATTAAATTCTTAATAACCATTATTAAATTCCTTATAAAAATTATTACATTCTTTATAACAATGATTACATTCGGATTATTTTATTTTTCTATATTGAATGGTGCGTTCAAAAAGAAATTTGATGCAAAATTAGGTCATGTGAACTGAAAAAAAAAAAAAAGAAAGATTCGACCAAATTTCCGTTCGATCAAATTTCCGTCGATTAGTTTTCCGTCGACGAAATTTCTTTCAAAACTAATTTCCGGATTCGCGTATAAACATTTAAACATTAGGATAGACAGTAAATAAACAACACGGGGGGGGGGGGACATTTTATAGCTTGACACGTCAAGCCTCTATAGACACACAAGCCGAAAATCATTGTTTGGGGGTATAAAGCATCTAGAGCGAAATTTGAGGATATTTCCACGAAACCCCACCACCCGCTGAAACGAATGTGCCCGGACCCGTAAGTATCAGAATTAATTAACCAAAACCAAATCTACCACAAAAAAAAAGCACAAAAAGAAAAACAACAAAAAAAAAAAGACAAAACCTAGGCCATGTCGAGCAAGTGATTTGAGCATTGAACTGTGCGAAGGCATTTCCACGCTATACAAATAATTTATTATATATAATGCATGGCCCGCCAAGCTACCAAAATGATTTGACAAAACATGCACTCAAGTAACGTAATTTTTTTAAAAGAATCCCAATGAGTTATACAAGTCTACAACCCCCTCCCCCACAGGGTAAGCCACCGTACTCTTTTTTTTTTTTTTTTAATCACGCCCCTGAATTTTATTTAGCGCAGATATCTGGAATTTTTTTTTAGCACTGTTGAACTCATAATTACACCATACTTTATTTCATAGACAATGATATAATATTGAAAAGACCACCGAAGAGCCAGACTCAGACAGTAATACAGACACATAAGACATAAGATAAGCTTAGAGACAACACGAGGAAATATAACAGTGAGCAGATGCATCGACTCACCAGTGGTGAGGGTAGGGTCAATCGTGTTTGTTGGGTCACTCGGCTGACCACCACAGCTTGCTTCAGCCGGCCAGTTGCAGTTGTTGATTTTACTGTCCCACCTGGCAAACACGACATAAAAAAATACAACAAACTGACATTTCGAAGACTAGGAAATATAATTTTAAATTTTAAAATGCACTAAAGAAATATAATGCAGGAGGGTTGATGGGAATTTAAAAGTATTAAAAGTCATGAGTTTTTTATTTTCAACTCCTGACATAAAATCATGACATGATTAATCACTTTTCGGGGAGGCGCTCAGAAGGTGACAAGTAATTGTTGAGAATTGATCAAACAAAGATACACATCAAGCTGCCTGAGGCAAGACTGGTTTTTAAAAAATCTTTATTCATAAATTATGCTACGCCTAGGGTGCCTAACGTAAGGTGTGTGATTCATATACCAAATTTCTGTCGAGTTGGCAGTTACGTCTACTTCACGTCAAATTTGGTTACAGAATTAGGAAACATCTCATGCTTAGGACATATATAAATCAACAATTTTTTTTTTCCAATAAAACTTTCAACATTCGATGCGGTGTTTGGTGAATTGATATTGAAACACTGAATTCGATGTTAACTAGCAGGAGATCAACTCTGATTAGCAAGTAATAAGGCGAAAATCCATTATGGGAAGAAACTCAATGTAAATATACACGTGGCAAAGTAGGTAACACGCGGACGTGTGTTCTGAGTGTGTGTGTGTGTGTGTGGAAAAGGGCGGCCCCCGGGGGGGGGGGTTCCTACTATTCTTACTCAGGGTTGCCATCTGTCGGGCCGTCACCGCTATGGACCTTGTTGTAATTGTGTTCAAAATAAAAAGTAATTTTATTAAATACATTTTTTTTTACTTCATTTCTGCACCCCCATCTCAGAGTGTCCCGAACAGGTCCCAGCTAGATATGCCAACCCTATCTTACTAATCACCGTTTCCGTTTAATAATTTGAATATTTATTTATTTAGGCATTTTTATCTAGCGCTTACCTTAAATCTCTAAGCGCTTCACAATTATTAACAACATGCACATTACTTAAATTGCTAAAGTAAAATAAAAATGAAAAAACCAGAGACACTAGAATAGTAACAACTATGTTAAAAATGACTATAGAAACATTAGCTTAAACATTAAAATGGCTATAAACTTTGGCACGTTTTGGCCTATGCTAAAGGATCAACCCGAGACAGAAAATGAGGCAGGGCGAAGAGGGTGCATCACAGGTCATGGGCGGACCTAAACAGATGGGTTTTAAGGGACTTTTTGAAAGTGGACGATTATGCCTCATTTTGAAAAAAAAAGAAAATATATATTTATTGTTAGCTAATCATGTTTGTCATGCTTTTAATGTCCTTTAACTCCAGAGTAATCTTATGTGTTTATTGAATTATTTTCACAGTTGGGATAACATGTGAAACGTTGGTATTCCAGAGTTATCCACCATGTTTATTGTTAAATTAAGCACACTTAGATATGTGTCACTGGTGTTATTTATGTATCATATCAGACGTTGTCCTATTTTTCCCCCGTCATACTGTTTCCTTTTACGATACTCTTAGAACAAGGGAAAATCTATATTTCTCAATACCTTATTTCTATGGGATTTGTAAAAAAAAAAAATAAAAAATAATTAAAATTATCATTCACCAAACATCTACTACCCAACCCTCGGCTACATAGATATAAATATATAAATGTATAAATATATAAGTGTATAAATATATAAATGTATAAATATATAAATGTATGAATATATAATTGTATAAAATCAAATGATTTAAACATGAACGAATGATGAGAAAAATTAACAACAACAAGAAATACAAAATGCCAACAATAAAACTAATTCCAAAATACAAGAACAACTGATCCCAGAAAAACAAACAGCTGATCACGTTCTAGAACAAACCTCCCCAAAAACTGATCCCCTCACAAAATTAACCCCCCACCCCCCAGAGACTGATCCCAAAATAAAATTAACCCATAAAAGAATGATCCCAACAATAAAACTGATACCAAAAAAAAAAAAACAACAAAAAAACAACAAAAAAAAAAACAACGAACAGCTGAGCACTTTATAGAACAAAGAGACTGAACCCAAAATAAAAATAACCCATAAAAGAATGATCCCAAAAATAAAACTAAAACCAAAAAAAAAAAAACAACAAAAAAACAACAAAAAAAAAAACAACGAACAGCTGAGCACTTTATAGAACAACCCCCCAAAAGGCTGATCCCATCATAGAACAAACTCCCAAAAGGCTGATCCCATCATAGAACAACCCCCCAAAAGGCTGATCCAAAATAGAACCACCATCCCCACCCCCAAAGACTTAACCCATCATAGAATAAACCCCATACCCTCAAAAGACTGATCCAAACATAAAACTAAACCCTCAAAGTTCTGATTCCAACATAACAGTAACCCCTCGCCTGACTGATCCCCAACATGCAACTGAACCCTCAAGAGGCTGACCTACCAATACAAAAATTTGACCCCTGAAGTCTCTGACCCATCAAACATAAATTTGAACCCCCGAGAGATTAACAACCAACATACAAAAAAACAACAACAACAAAAACAAAAACAAACCCACCAACAACAAGAAACAACAAGAAACAAGCAACAAACAAAACAACTGACCTCAAAGTTCCACAGTTAAATTTGTGCGCCGTTCCCTGGAAGCAGAAGAGATACGCCTTCCCCAGATCCGCCGATGTTTCTCCAGCTCCGAGCTGTGCGCATGCGTACTCATTGTCCTGCATGGTCCTGACGCCCGTGTGCGTGGGGACATTCATGCAGATGCCGGACGTGACGTCAATGTTGGCCATGATCACTGCGAGTGTCGCAGCCATCAGAACTTGTGTATATGACGTCATGGTTTTTAACTCGTACAATTTAGGCTGAGGTTATTTGATGTCAATTGTATGAAACTATTTCGTATTTGTTAATTGTTTTGTTTTGTATTCCTTTATGAATCGTACGTTTTCTTTCGGTGTTAAATCTTTTTTCTTTATATATCTTTCTTTTCCTTTTTTTTATGTGTCTGTTTCTCTTAAAAGTTATATCTTAGATCGTTACAAAAAAAAATTATTTAAAGATTTTTTTTTTCCTATCCAAGATGTTACAAAAAAAAATAAAATAGCTAAATTCTAAAACCCGTGAATGTTACTTCACACAGGTAACAAAACAATGACCTGTGCTCAGGTAGCAACCCCGCTTATATACACCTGGGAGATAATGCTATGACATCATGGCCAGTCCTCTCAACCCCCCCCCCCCCTCCCCCCCCCCCCCCCCCCCCCCCCCCCCCCCCCCCCCCCCCCCCCCCCCCCCCAACCCCCCCCACCCCCCCCCCCGCGCACTCCTCCTCCAACCATAGCCCCACCACCAACCTACGCGTTGAAGGGAAGGTGAAGGTAAAAATAGCTCGTCATCAAATCTTATCTAAATCTAAAGTTTTACTTGATAAAGGAAAAAAAAAAAAATGTCCGGATATTATGGTTAAAACTTGGAATACACACTTGGTAGGTGCGGTAAACATACTTTTCCGGTTTTTCATTTTTTAAATAAAGAAAATTTTATTTCTACCCTGTCGTCAATGTCAATCTCTCGCTCCTCATGTAAGTTCACATTGCATGATTATAATGGTGTAGGTGGACATTTTAGGTTTGATTGTCTAAATCAGCGCTTCTCAAACTTTTCAGTTTGAGTGGACCGGTGGAAAAGTTTTCCACCGCACAAGGGACCTTGTGGCCAAGTAACCATTGCTGCAGGGACCGTTGGACAAGTTTTCAAGGGCACCAGGGACCATTGGACAAGTTTTCAAGGGCACCAGGGACCGTTGGACAAGTTTTCAAGGGCACCAGGGACCGATGGACACGTTTTCAAGTGCACCAGGGACCGGTGCCAGAATTATTAGTTAGTGTTCTTTTTTTAAATTGGACCTTAAATATATATCGATAAAATAATTCAGTAGGACTCTAAAACATATCAAAATTTAATACTACCCATAATTGTTTTTTTAAATAACAGGCTGTTTTGACATTTTAAAAAAATAAAAATTTTTTTTAGCCAATGGTTGCTGTGAGTAATGTACTCATGTCTTTCACTGACAAGCTAACCAACTCGTGACTACAGTGTAGACAGTGCCAGACACAAATGAGAACTCATAATCTCGTTCTGTTCCCGCACTTTGTCTAAACAACGCGCCGAGGACGACACTCACCTGTCTTGCAGAGCTCACTTGACGGAAATGGCAGAAGATTTTTCCAAGGTCCTTTCGGAAACGTCAGGATATTGGCCAGCAGTTAAATCCAACAACCTATTCTTACAAAGCGACATCCAAGTAGCACTTGGTGTAGTAGCACTTGGTGTAGTAGCACTTGGTGTAGTAGCACTTGGTGTAGTAGCACTTGGTGTAGTAGCACTTGGTGTAGTAGCACTTGGTGTAGTAGCACTTGGTGTAGTAGCACTTGGTGTAGTAGCACTTGGTGTAGTAGCACTTGGTGTAGTAGCACTTGGTGTAGTAGCACTTGGTGTAGTAAACGAATTTCGATCCAACCGGTTCCCCTTCGCGAAACATGTAACTTGACTAATGTTGTGGGGACCTGCAACATAAAACACCGGTCCGTTGACCATCATTTGGGGCCGGATTGAGGACCCATGTTGGACTGGATGTGACCTACGGGCCGTAGTTTGAGGACCCCTGGTGTAAGGTATCTGATTTTGTATCCCCCCCCCCTTTCCCACCCATTTTGTTTTCCTGTTTTGGCTAGACGAAAAAGCAAAGAAAAATATATTTTTTTTTTCCTTTAGAGGACCATAATATCCTAGTGTCAGTTAAACCTCAGCAAGATGAAAACTATGATATCGGACGTTACATGAGAGCTGGGCTGTCTTGACATTATAGAGAGCCACGCCCATATCGTCTGGATAGGACATGATATTCCCAAAATGACAGTTTATACTAAGGATGTATCATTTGGCGGGAAAATTTATTAACAAGGATTACATCTTTAGGATCGGGATTACTAAATTGTATGGACGTGTAGCCTATTCAGTCCAAGGTGGGAGATGGGATAAGATGGGCTGAGATGGGCCACTGGCCGGGTGGATAAATGGCTGGTATTTTAATTTTTAGATTGTTCGGGTTGGATTTACAAAAAAAAAAAAAAAATTCTGTAAACAAACAATATGGTGCATATTACAACACTAAAAGACATTTTTAGTAGCCTATGGCTACATAAAGTAGATCAGCAACATGCTTTTTTTAGAGTTTTTTTATTTTACCTTATATTAATTCATACACCCCCAAATTGATGACGTTGTGCACGCGTCAGAAATCAGATGATTTAAACTCCGCCATTAATTAAACCTGTGATAGCAAGCCCCCGCAGTGATTCTCAAAGAGAAATCAACTTTTGTGCATCCCATTGGGGTCATCCATAAAGCACGTCACGCCGCGGGAAAGGATAGACGGAGGAGGATGGATGTAAGAAAGAGTGACAGTTTAGGATAGAGGGGGAGGGGGGATAAAGTCCTATTTTTGCGTCACACTTTTTCCTTTCTATTATCATACAGCAATGTTTGAACTGTTTTGTGGTGAGGGATGTATTCTGACAGAAGATGACGTCACTTTTATACCTTTTGACGGTTCAATAGTGAAGTGTGTTTCAGATTGAATTTTAATGAGTTGTTAAAGTTAACACTATTAAGGCTCTAAAGTGAGGCATACGTTTAAGAGGTGGATGTGGGGTGTCTGAGATTTGCGACAGATTGTGACAGGTGCAGGGAAGGAGGGGGGGGGGAGGTAGAAACTGTCCAAAAAATAGCGTGACGCATCTTATGGTCGGGCCCCTTTCATTCAACATTTTCTACCTTCTTCTTTTGCCTCTTCAATTGCTCCCACTGGGGGCATAAAGCCCCTCACAACCTTCTTTCTAGTCATCTCTATTTTCATCTATTCCTCCCAGTGCATTCCACTTCTGTCTGTTTCTCTCCATATCTCTGTCACGGTCACGTCTCCTTGGTTTTTTTTTATCCGTAGAAATCCCACGCGAAGAAATTCTAAATTTATTTTGTTTACGATGCGGTACAAAAGTTTAAAAAAAAAACAACGCTTACAAGTATGTACAGATTATTTTTAACTCTTCGCTGTCCGATAGCGTTGACTATCTCTCTAAATGTCCGAAGATAAAAAAAAAATCTGTGTTTCAAAATTTCTATCTCGCCTCTTAGAACCGTTGTCAACAATTTACCTCACTTGAGAGAAAAATAATATGTTGACATGTGTCCGGCAGAACGCGGAAGCATGATACGCGATGCGTCGCATGATAAATACGTGGCCAGACGAGATATTATGTTTACATTTTAAAAATAAAAAATACGGACATAAGCATAATCAGTTCACGCATAAACATATCTGGTTCCGCTGCGCACCGACTTCACACGGCTTGAAGGAAGTCCCGCCGGATATTCTCCCGTCTCATGGTAACGACACACCCAAAACAACAACAAACAACAATAGCTTCTCGGCCTTTCGGTTAAAATCAAAGTGTAGTTGTAACTGTTCTTATTAAAACTTTTTTTTTTTTTTTTTTTTCCAACCTCTTGTGGGGGGGGGGGGGGGGGGGGGAAAAAAAGGGGGGGGGGGG